TTGTGTGGTCGCCCTGTACCCCAGCTTTAGCGGGGCCTCTGCCACCCCGAGGTCACAGCTCCCCCTCACCAGCTGCACCCCTGCACCTTTCTGAGCAGTTGATCCTCCCTGAGGTCATTGTGATGAAATGCCACTCCCTCCTTTCTTCCCCATTCCTCGAAGCCCTCTGAACAGCAAAGCTCCAGTTGCAGGGGCGTGATCAGGGGAGGGTCTGGCCTGGCCTGGCTTGGCCCCCTTTTCTGTGATGGGGGAATCTGTCTCCTTGGGATTCCAAGGTGGTCTGGTGATAGCCAGGTCCCCATGTCTCTCACTATTTCCCTGAATCCCTCCGGGGGGGGGTCCCCAAAAGCTCAGAAATCCTTCTCTTTTGCCTGATTTTTGTGCCTGCCGCTCCATGCTCTTTGTGGAGGGAGGGTCCAGGCCATTGACTCCCTGCCCAGGAGTCCGCACCCAACACTTCCCCAGCCTCTGGGCCCCTCTGCCCAAGGCAACTGGGGCCTTGTCTGTGGAGCTTTGGGCTCAGAAACTGGGTCTCCCTGAAGATGGCTCAGCAGGAAGCTCCCAACACCTGGCTCCAGCCCCTCGAATCCTGGGGCCTGGGATCCGGGAGGCCTCAAGCCCTTCAGTCATGCCGCTTCCCAGGTGCGGCCCTTGGGGGCTGGCTTTGACCTGGGGATGGCGCTAGTGTCCCTCCTTCTCATGCCCTGGCCACTTTTGCTCCCACTCTTCTTACCTTTGGCTCAGGCACTTTATCCAGGCTCTGTGCCTGCCTTCTGCCAGTGAAACCAGGTCCCCAGTATGCCCAGACCCTAGCCCTCTGGACCTTTAAGTCTCAGGGACCCCCTGCCTGGCTTCTGCCTCAAAGATGCTGTTGCCTGACTTCAAGCCTGGCCTGGCTGCCACCTGAGGTCCTGCTGGTGTGAGGTGGGCATCCCATACTAACTTCCCTTTCAGTCCTGCCAGTGCCCCGATCTGGGTGTTCAAGAACCAGAACCTAAAGTCCTGGGAGGATGATCTACCATGGTGACTGGCAGAAGGAGCAGCACCATGCCCTTAAGCTTGCGTGGCAGGTGTGTTTCTAGGCAGCACAGAGGCAGTGAAAGTGTAAGCAGCAACCAAGAAGGATGGTGCTCAAACACACCCAGAGTCACTGCATGTAACCTGCAGTTACCACATGACCTGGGAGAAAGGCTCCAGGCCAGCTCTTGCAAGAGCTCCGGTCAAGGCCCGGAGGTGACATGATGCAGCCACCACCTGTCTCCCGCACATGCCGCCCTGTGTGCTGGCCATTCTAGAGGGCACACACCGCCCTGCCCCTTCCAGCTTGCCTGCAGGCCTGGTCCACCCAACCTTCTGCCTCAGGCTGTACCTCCTCGCCTATGACTTCACAACCAACTCTGCTTCTTGGGGGCTGGGGGAGCCCTGGTTTGTAGTGTTTGTCAGTTTCTGTGGTGTAAATATCCCCTCCATGGACAATTTCAAGCTACCAAAATGATGTCACTGAACAGACTTGGGGAGCGATGCATAGTAGCGTTACATCCTATCCATACCCCCTTCCCCAGATACAAGAGACGTAAGTAACCTCTAGGATGAAGAGTAAAATTAGGAAGGGAAGAGTTTTGCATATTTATTCCCATTGTTTTTAACACAACTTAATTATTATTTTTGTAAATAAAGCTTTATTGGAATCGGGGCTGGGATTAGGGTTCTGCAAGCAAAGTAGGGTCATAGAAGCAGAGGGTCAGATGCTGTTTTTATTAAAAAGTTTGATACTTTGTCATGGATTTTTTGCATTAATCTTATTTATTTGTGCTTTTTTTTTTTTTTTAAGCTTTTCTGATTTGGGCCAAATCCTTCCTAATCTACTGAGTTATCCCTGGTATCTGACTGGATCTCAAACTTTTACCTGCCTCTTATATTCTCACCAAGAGTCATAATTTAAATTGTTGTCATTTACATCTTGTGAATGAAGTAAGTAAGATCAAGTCCTACTCAGGAGAAATTAGGGGGCCAGGTAACCAGAGACCTGAGGTCAGCTTCTAGGGGCAGAAGGACTCTTTCTGAAGGCCTCCCATTTCTCAAAAGTTCCATAGACTTCTCTCCATGGCTTCCCTGGGTGGGTTTCATGGGCAAATCCTAGGAGCTGTACAATTAAATCTCCACGATTAGATGCCCTGTGATTAGCTGCACGATTAGATGACCTGTGAAAACATTTTGGTTTGTGTATTTGGGTTGTCCTTGCTTAGACCATGTTCACAACCAGCTCCCATTAGGCCAGCAGATAGCTGGAATGTTAACAAATTAGTTGTTGGTATTTTACAGAGACACTTTTGTGCCATCAGTCTTGGGATGTGGAAGTGTGTTGTCTACAAGAGGGCTCTCCTAGGGTGCAGTACAGAGGCCAAGGCCTTATTTACTCTTCCCGGAGAGCCATCCAGACCACACCTGGTGACCTCAGTGTAGTTTGCCCCAGTTGGATACTTCCCGCATCACTAAAAGATGGTCTTTTCTTTTCCCCAAACGGCCATTTACAAAACAGACTTTAGCTCATCCGTAGGCTTGACAGAGAAACAGAAGCCATCGTTGCATCAGGGAGAGAATGGATGGTAACGGGTGAATCTCTCACTCCCTCTGGATTCTGGAGACGGGGCTGCTCCCACGCCAAGGCAGGGTAAGGCTGTGCCCATCAGCGGCATCTGAGGAATCTGGAGGGAGTGGATTTGCTCAGGAGAATTAGAGAGATTTTTCCATGATGCTCCTCTGCTGTTCATCTACACTCTGCCTTTTCACGGTTTCACCATGGAGCGCTTCCATTTCAGGGACTCAGTCTTTGTGTCTCCTGTTTGTCCGTGTCAATAATACTGAGAAAAGTATTTGTGTTTTCTGGCCCACAGAGTCCTAACACGCCCAGACTTGCACCACTGCCAAGAACTCGCAAGTTTACCCAGGGTCCCAGCCCATGAAGTGTTTACGGTCATCATTGCAGGGGTAACCTGGCCTCTTGCCTGCCCCAACGTTCTCCTGTTTACCTTCTCTGCCTGCTCTCCTGAGGAGTCAGAAGGCCACTGAAAAACACAATGCTTATCCTTAATTTATGTCATTGGGACCACTGAGATGTCTCCACTAACGGGCATGGCCAAGGCAAATGGACTTCCTGGGAGATAGCATGTGATTTTATTTATCTCACACACACACACACACACACACACACACACAGGCACACAGGCACACACAAGTACCATCTAAATACTGATAATTTTATTTCAATATTTCTGTTTAGGACAGGTCAGACCCTGCTACTAGCTTGGGTAACATTGCTGGCTCTGCACGTGAAATTTCTTCCCCTTTCCTAAGTGGGCCCTGATGTCACCCCTAGCAAAGAGCGAGCATAGGCCTCCTCCCACAGAGACCAGTCACAGTGCCAGTGATGCTGTTTGCATCTATGGTCTTAATGGAAGGAGGGAAATGGCATTAAACTGGTCAGCCCTCTGAGCCCTTAAAACACATGTGCAGAAGCACGGGGCTGCTTTGGAACTGCTGTATTCCCAGCCATAGTGGGTAAGGTACCAAATTTTCATCAGAGTTTAAAAGAGGAAGGAAGTACCAAGTCTGCTGCTCAGGCAGAGGCTTGAGCATGAGTTTCCCTTATTCTAAGTCCCTTCTGTTTCCTCGTAGTTGGTCTCAGTGAGGAGGACCGGGTTTCCACTGAGGCCGATGTCCTGTCTCTGGCTGAGCTGTCCGGACTTGGCTTCTCCATGCAAGCTCTGGAGGTGGATGAGCTGGTGGGTTTGGCTCTGCTGCTCCCTCAGCTGGGTGCCGGGGGAGGGTAGGCAGGAAGGGCAGTGTCAGGAGCCCGGCTTGCGGGCTGCGGTGGGCCTGCCCCTGGACGCTGGAGAGCTGGCCTCCTCAGGCCACTCAGCGGCTCAGAGATAACTGTCTCTTCCCATCTGTCACCTGCAGCAGCTGGCTGAGAACAGGAAGCTGGCTGGGTCATTGGGCAAGGGGACGGTGACACCTCACTTCCTGGAAGCGTGGCCGCCTGGAGAAGAAAAGCCAAGCAAGCTGCCAGCACCAGGGCTGACTCGGCACAGAGCCCCCTCTGTCAGCCCTCCCTTCAACCAGCTGTGGGCAGACAGAAGGCAGAGAACCTTCCCTGCCCGGGTCGCCTCCTCTGTGATCAGGGCCTGACTCTGTGGTCACACTTTCCTCCCAGGAAGCAGGCTGCTCCATGTGGGGACTCAGTGAGCTTCGCTAGCAGCAGCTCGTGTGTTTGGGACCTGCGTCTGCTGCTCCCCACCCCGGGGGCCGTGTGGTGCTCTTGGCCCCTCAGCTCCTGGGTGCTGCTACTGTGACCATTCCTAGATGGGGCTCCCGGGCCTGGCCTGGTGCAGCCTGGAAGTCAGGCAGGGATAGCGAGGCCTGTCTGCCCCTCTCCAGGCCCAGCTTGGCCTGCATTTGCTGGCGTTTCCTGTGGCCCTGTGTTTGGAAGCAGCCTGACCTGCACTGCGGGTGGGGAGATGGGGTTAGGGCTTCGCTGTGTGTTTCCCAGCAGAGAGGTGCTGAGAGAAGGACCCCGCCCCTTCCCCCGGTTCTGCGTACGCCCCGTGCTGTGCAGACTCGGCCCATTATCCACGCTTCCAGCTCAAAGGGTCCCCATTTGGCCACAGCGCCCAGGGCCCTGTCAGGAAGAGGGGGTGGGGAACAGTCACAGGAGTGCGTATATCCTGAGTGTGACTGATTCTGTCCCGCCTGACATTCTTTTGTTTGGCTTCTCTTTTGTTTTCCGTTCTTTTTAGTAAAGCCCTTTAGAAAAGTCCAGGCTCAGTTGGGGAGTGGGGTGGGGGTGGGGTTGGTCAGCTGGCCAGCTGGGAGGGGAGACAGAGAAACGGTCTTTACCATGAGCAAAAGGGCAGGAGGGTGGCCTCAGGGACAGAGTGGGGTCCAAGTCCCTCTGGCGGCCCCTCTGCCTGGCCCACGAGGAAGCACCTGCTTCTGCTTGATCACGAGGCTGCCCTGAGCAGTTGCTGGCTGCCTCCCACCAGAAGGCAGGTCCAGGTTTCAGGTCTGACCACGCAAGCCCCACGCACGGGCACCTCGTCACTGAGTGGCACATACTGCCTGGAGGGTCTCACTCTGCCAGCTTGTGCCTGAGCTGCTGAGGCCAAGGGCAACTTCTTAAACAGAAATTTATGGTCCTGGTCCTATGGGGAGGGGAAGCGGGCCTCTCCCCTTGGTCTGATGGGCACAGGAGGAGCACGAGTCGGGTGAGGAAGCCCAGTTCATCCCCCCTCCCCCCAGGCTGACTTACTCTGCAGGCTCCTCGTGGAGGACATCGTGGAGCCGGGGCGGCCAGCCTGCTGGGGGCCACACAAGGAGAACTGGGGGGACACAGCCGATGCCTTGGCCTTGGGTGAGTTCAGATCCAGCATCTCCGGGGTGCGGGGGGCCCGGGGCTTGCAGGTGAAGCCTGATGTAAACTCCCTGGAACAGAACGTGCAATGCAGACCCACAGGAGGAAGGAAGGATTTCCCCTTGGAGCACCAATAGATGCCAGGCAGGCACTGCTCTGGGCAGGGGGAGGTAGAATAGGGCACCCAGAGGCATAAACCCTGCCCCATGGAGCTCACATTCTAGGGAAGGACAGAGATGACGAAAGAAAGAAATGCTAAGAAGGAGATCAAGCAAGGAACATGGGAGACAAAGTATTAGATCGAATGGCCAGGAGGTGTGGCTGGCAGAGTAATGGCCCCCATTAGTGTCCACATCCTACTCCCTGGAACCGTACATGACAAATGGGAATTAAGGCTGCAGATGTGAGATTATCCTAGATTATGGGGGTGAGCCCAAGGTAATTACAAGTTTCCTTAAAACTGGGAGAGAGAGGTAGAAGAAGAGAGTCAGGGAAATGGGTATGGCCATGAAGAAAAGCCCAGAGATGCAACGCTGCTGGCTTTGAGGGTGGAGAAGGGGCCACAAGCCAAGGAGGGCAGGACGCCTCTAGAAGCCAGAAAAGACAGAGAAGAGATTTGCCCTTAGACCTCCGGAAAGTAACATGTCCTGTGGGCACCTTGTTTCCGGCCCAGTGAGTCCTGTGTAGGACTTCTAAGATAATAAGATAATGAATGTGCATTTGTTCGGTCACCAAATTTGTGGTAATTGACCACAGTAGCAATTGAAGACTGATTTAGAAGGGGCAGCCAGGGAAGGCCTCGCTAAGAAGGTGACATTTAGCCGCCACACAACCCTGTGTGGCAGGCATTACTACCCCATTTTACAGTTGTCCAAACTGAGGCTCCAAATTAGTAAACTTTCCCAAGGTCACACATGTTACAAGCAGATAGTAAGGCCAAGACCTGAACTCAGTGGGATCTTACAGCCAGCCATTCTCCAGATGCCTGCCGGACCCCAGCCCAATGGAGACTGGAGGCCACGTCTGGGAGCCAGCTCCCTTCTCTCTTTTGGTGCCTGCAGCCACCGCAGGTGCGGCTGGGGATGTGAGTCCCCCGCCCAGCCCTTGGCTCTCTGGCTGTCACTGAGCTATAGACAAGCTCAACTCTCATGCCCACCTTGACTTCTGGACCTCTGCTAGCTACATGCTGGTTTTCCTGACAACAACTCTGAAGACTGGAGCCCCAGGCTGTCACCCAGGATTGTTGTCACCATTGAATGAGCTGATGTAAGCACCAGCTCAGCTCCCGGCAGGGAGCAGATGCTCCTGGTCCCACTTCCCTTCAATAACTGGGCGTTTCCATTTGCAGGCTGCACACAGTGGGTGCACAGAGGATACTGTGAACCTGGTGAGTGAGGGTGTGCCCCCTCCGCACCCTCAGGACAGGGAGATGCTGACTGTCTGCAGGGCTCCCCAGTGGGCAGTGGGGAGTGTATGTGTGTGTGTGTGTGTGTGCGCGCATGTGCTGGGGGATGAAGCCAGGGACTGTAGGATCTGGTGGCAGGGGAGGAGGCTGCAGGGGCCCCCGAGGGCGGGCTCATGGAAGGACCCAGACTCTTAGTCCTGTTCTGTTGCTCTCTAGCTGGTGACTGAGAGTGAGCAAGTCTGCTGACATTTTGGAAGCCTCATTTTCCCCAAGTGTAAAATATTTCCTATAGAACAGCTCTGAAGCTTCAGTGAGGCAGTGCCCCAGGCCCAGTCGCGGTAAGCGCTTAGTAACTGGGGGTTCGGGTTCTGAGGAGTGTGACTTGGGAGGAGACTGCGTAATTTTTTGACTCATTTCTATATGCCTCCCTTTTTCACACTGCGAATCTATTACTTCAACAATTAGAAAAGTAAAATTTAGATATCTGAAAAGTCTCCAATTTCAAATTTAGAGAAAGATTGGCATAAAACCTGTCCATCTTCTAGACAGGAAACCTTTCATACCAGCTTGAAAAAGATGAGGGGGTGGGATTAAGTCCAATGACTTTTTTTTAAACTTTAAGATAATTTTTTTCTTTAAAAAGCAAACTTATCTTTATGTCACTCACAGTATCACCCCTCCAGATAGTGTCCATGTTAGACCTTTTATCAGTTCACTGGTCAAATTGCCCTCCTTGTCTGTGAACTTCCTAAAAATAGGAATTTGGTGTGGTTGATCTTTGATCCCCAGCGCCCAGCACAGGTCTCAGCACACGTGTGCATTATGAGTGAGTGAAAGAGAAGCAAAATGTTAGGGCAACGGCATCACAAATTACAGCGTATCGATGAGATGAGAGTACATGATCAGTATAAACTGTAAGGATGGGGGCTCCTCAGACATATGAGAGAAAACGGAACAAGGCCAAAAACAGAGCAGTACAGAAGGGCGCGTAAGTATGACTGCAATGATGTGAAAACAGGCACGTACCACTGATGCTTTTCTTACATATGCATAGATCAGTCCTTGATGTGGGCTAGAGAGGTGGTTTTCCTTTAATATTATTTGGTTCAAATGATTTTTTTTTCTATTTTGCTATTCTATTTCCAACATTTTTATCATTGTTATAGCAGTTAGCTATTTAAAAATTCTGGTAAAATAGACATAAGTAAAAATGACGATCTTGACCATTTTTAAATGTGGCCCCAACTACATTTTAAGAAGGAACAATTGAGAGAAATTAGTAAAAGCTACTCAGGTGAATACTGGCCGCTGTTCCTGGCAGCGGTAACGACAGAGGGGTAGCCTTGGGTTACCTGGGGATGGCCCATCACGCGGTCATGGGACAGGGTGGCCAGATGTGGGGGAGCTAGTTGTACAGGCCCGGGATGGCCGGCCTGCTTCATTTCATGGGGCCTTAAAGCCAGTGGGCCACAAGGTCAAGTTGCAGGGTGAGGGGCAGCTGAGGGGAGTTGGCAAGTGAAGGGAGAGAAAGGGAATCTACAAGCTCCCAACCCAGGGCAACCAGAAAAGGGCTCCATCCTTTTGGAGAGCAATTTGGCCATGCGTATGAAAACCCGTATGTGTAGGTTAATTTTGTGTGTCAATGCTGCTGGGCCATGGCGCCTCGGTATTTGATCAAATATTGTTTTGGATATTTCTGTGCAGGTGTATTTTGGGTGAGGTTAAGATTAAATAGGTGGACTTTGAGTAAAGCAGGTTATCCTTCAGAATGTGGGTGGGCCTCATCCAATCACTTCTGGATTTTGGACTTGCCAAGCCTCTATAACCAGGTGAGCCAATTCCTTAAAATAAATCTAATTATACACACTTCCTGTTGGTTCAGTTCCTCTGGAGAACACTGACTAATACACTTTAAAAGCCAGCCTACTCTTTGCCCTAGGGTATGACCTTTGTTTGGCCAGGGTGGCAGCGTTGTTGTTGGGGAAAGAGCGCCCTCAGACAGAGGCTCCCTCTGGCTGGCTCCTCCCTCTGGCATTGGACAAAGTAGCCCTTGGCAGACCCCAGGGAGCCCCCTTTGGCTTGGCAGAGCCCACCCCCCGTGAGGTCCTCCAAACCACCTTGAGGGCTGCAGGAGGCGGTTGTGTTGACTGAGGATGCTGGGCGCTGTCACTGAACTCTGCAAGGATGATGGCATCAGCGCCTTCCGGGAAGGACACTGCGGGAGGCAGGGGTGGATGGCTGTTGGTGAGAGTCAGCTTGGTCCCTGAATGCCCCCTAGCTATCCCCCCAGGATAGGTAGCCTGGGTAGCCAGGAGCCAGAGCCAGGAAATGGCAATGGTCTGGCAGGAGATGCAGCCAGATTAGGGCAGAGCGAAAAACGCACATGGGAAAAGCACATGGACGGCAGTCACTTGCGAGTTAGAAAAAAGTAATCTGCTACAGGAACACATGGTGCTGGGTACTAGAAAAAGGTAAACTTCCATATATTGGTAAATTGAGAGGTGCCCCGCGTGACAGGCGATCACGTATTAGAAAAGGCCGGCTCGCTTATACTATCTCTGTTCATCAGTAGGAGCATTGTGTTGGGAGTAGCAATAAAAGGCTTCTGGAGATATTTAATCTTTACTTGCGTTTGGAATGCTGCTGAGTCATGATCCCACAGCTGAGCATTCTCACGCCAGATGGACGGAGCTTCAGTCCTCCGGAGGAGCTACCGTTTGCATTAAGGCACAGATGGAGGTGCTCAGCGGCTCCCTAAGTGGACTCTGCTCATTAGGGTCCATAACTGGCTCTCAGCCTTGCTGTGGATATTTCATCTGGGCTGCAGCAAAGCTGGGAGAGGGGTGGGGGTCTGGGGAGGGACCACGCCGGATGAAGGCAAATTTGAAAAGCTCACCAACAGTTCACACGTGTCTGTATGTGTGTGTATAAACGCGCAGTCAAGCTACCCTGGTTTCCCCGGCCTCCTTGTTCTTAGTCTGCAGTTTCCTTTTGCAGGATGCACTGTATGTGGCATCACGAGCTGTCATCTATCGTCTGGGGACAAATGTGATAAGGGAAGAGCATATATGGACACATAGGTAAAATCTCTTTCTTCCTTATTTTCTAAAAGCCACGATATTTGTGGCTGGATAGGAACTTCGACACTGTTTGCTACTGATCCTGGCCTGGGACTGGGCGGACGTCTGGGCTGGAGTGAGAGCTCCCACGGGAGGAGCCCATTCCCTCGCTTGCCCTCAGGCCACATGGAGGGAATGTCCAGGCAAATGCCTTCCTGTCCAGCTGGGCTCCCCTCCATCTCTGTGTGGACCATGTGCCAGCGCCACGCAGGGTGGGACCTCAGTAGATGGCAGGCAGCCGGTGGGTGGCGGGAAAGGCCATGTGACCGCCTGGGCAGCCTGGCCCCTCACCTTCCCGGAGGTGACAGCTGGAAACCAACCCCGCCCATTCCAAGTGCAGGCCAGTCCCTCCAGGCCTGTCTTGACAGATTTCCCGGGAGAGCACCTTGGCTCTTCTTGGGATAAATGCTACCCCCCTTTTAAAAAAATGCATTTTCATAGCCTGGTTAACAGGCTACTCAAAGCTAAGGAGTCTAAGAAGGGATAGGAAAAAAGAAAAGGAAAGCTTGGCTCCAGGGAAGGCAGTGGGGTGGTGGGTCCTGAACCTTTTAACTCCCTACATCCCAGGAAGGCAATTTCAACAGCAAGACCAGTTGCAGTTATGCACTGGAGCTGCAATTATTTTTAAGTCACTTCAAAGTCTGGGCTAAGAGATAAAAGTTATCATTCTGTCCACTACCCAAACCCCGAGCTCCAGGGCCTTCCGCCGGTTCCGAGCAGTCAAGCAGCACCACTCGTCTTCTGGGGACAGGGACGACCCTCCCGCTAAAGACTGAGAGAGAGGAGTTGGGGGAAGCTGAGGAACATAGGTCCGCCACTCAATCCATCAGAGAGCCTCCCCCCCTTCTCTTACTGATTCATCAAACACATATTTTGAGCACCTGCTCTGGGCCAGGGTATGGGAACACAGGGAAATGCCCTACACATGGCCCATCTTTGAGGACAGTGGGAGACGGTCATGGAGCATGTGACCACGCAGTGGGCTCCGGGGCCCCTTGCAGGGGGACGTGCTGTGTGACTGGATCTTGGGTTCAGGTGGGAGAAAAGGGTACTTAGCTGAGACCTGGAGCCGCTGGGTGAAGAGGAGGTTGCCGTGGGGAAAGACTACTCCAGGCAGGGCTCAGAGAGTCACTGGGAAGGAGGGGAGGGAACAACAGCATATGTTTCCTTCTTTCCATCTTCCCCTTCCTCAAACAGCGCCCCCTAAATAAGAGTTGAATTCAAGTGATTGACAGTAAGGTGAGAGCACCCATGGGTTTAACCCTGAGGGGGCACCTGTGCCCAACAGGGGCTTGGAAGGCCAGCGGGGTAACTGCACTGGAAGTCATGAGGGAATGTTTCCAGGAAGAGAGACTTTGGGGTCCCTGTCTACATGAAAACAGTCATTTCTGGGGAGAGAGATGAGCCTCAGAAATGAATTCAGCATTTATAGGAAGAAAAAAGAACTGGCCCCTACTCCGGAAGGGCAGATTTGGCCTGGCTGAGTGGCAAGTCTGGCTCTGGGTGGGGCCCTGGGTGCCAGGAGGCAAGGGCAGCAGGGCCCCACCTCACTGAGGTCTCTTGTTTTGAGCCCACACTTCAGGAGGGTGCCGTGGGCCAAAGAACCCCCCATCCAGCTGACTAGTGTGGGCCCCAGACATTTCCAATCCCAGAGCCCACCTCCAGCCACTCTGAGAGGGGAGGAGGCCCAGGAAGGGCAGGTGGTCCTGGGGCCCCAGCCAGTCAGGGGTTGGGCTGGAGGAGACCAGATGCTCGGCCCTCTGGCTCACCCTGCTCTCCTTTACATCCTCAGCCCGGTCAAGGTATCCGGGACTGGCCCCCACCCTAGTCCAGGCTCCATGTCTTTCCTGTGGGCTTGTCCCCACACAGCTCTGCTGGCCCGAAGCCCAAACAGCAGTAGCAGGAGTGGGGGGTGCAGGCGTGCTGCCTGCCCTGAGGAGGGTGACTCCAGCACCCTCCCCGCCCCTCGCCCCCCTGACTTCCTCCACCAGTGGGTGCCGGCTCTGCCAGGCCTTCTGCCTGTTCTCAGTAGCACTGGCAGCTCCAGGTGTTCCCACACCTTCTAGAACTCAGCAGGAATTCCTATTTCTGCAGGGTTTCCATCAGTGGGAGCCTGCAGGAAGGGCAGTAAGGCCCCTATAAGGGGACAATGGCCAGCGGCTGGTTTCTCAGACTCCCCTGGCCTGGGAGGGGGCCACCTCTGCAGAGGGTGGGGTGGCTTCTGGCCTTGAGGCCGGAAATGGGGGCCTCTCACCACCTCACCCAGCTCCCCAAGTCCCCGCTGCTGCGGAAGGAGCTGCTGATCTGGTAAGTGAGCTGTGATCACAGCTGAGGTAGAGGCCTGTTCACTCAGCACCTCACTGCAGGCAGGGACGTACTTCCCTATTCTACAGGAAGGTGGAGCCCAGAAGGCCTGACCAGCCACCATGGCAAGGTTCCTCTAACTCAGAGACTCCCGGGGTGTGGTCATGTCCAACATGTTCCAGAGCATGTTCCAGGGTTCTAGAGCAAGAGCTTGGTGCTGTGTCCTGAAACACTCAGCCTGCAGGGCTCCGCGTGGCCGGGAGGAAGTGGTGGGCTGCGGCCAAGAGACAGGTTAGGTCTGAGTCCAGGGCCAGTGCCCTCCACCCCCAGCAGGTTTCTTCAGAAGGAAGAGGCCTGTGAGATCATCAAAAAAGCCCTTTCTAGACTCTAAAGAACCCCTAGTAACCCTTCAAGGCCAGTCTGTGCTTATTTGGTACAGAGGAAGAGAAAATATCTGCTTTTTTTTTCCCCTTCCTGGGAGTCCAGTTTCTCTTTTAGGAAGCTGGCATCTGAGCCAAACCATTTTACTAACCTCGTTCTTCATCTTTCTCCCCTCCACACCACCTTCTCCAAAAGCAAATTGCTAGGATTGGACATTGACTTCAAGTTACCCCGAATCACACACCCTCCCGAACATGTTCACTTAGCAGTTCTTAAAACTAGTCCCTTGGGCATGTTAATAAGTTTTCTCTCCTTTCCATCTGAAGACCAATAATTCCCGGGTGGTGGGTCCCTCCCCTTGGGCTCTGAGGTTAGCAGGCGTGGTGCCCACACTCCCCTGAGTGTCTCAGAACCACAGTTCAGGCCCCAGAGAAATGCTCCTTTGCTTCCATTGTCAGAGGCCAGGCCTCAGAGGAGCCTCCCCAGGATACTCCCCATCCCTACCTGGAAGTCTCTCCACTGTCCGGGGCCTGGGGCACCTCCCGAGGCCGCCTAGGGGTCCCCGCTGGGGGCAGGCGGGGCTCTCCTGGCCGCCCTGCTGGCAACCACTCTCCCGGCTTGGCGTCGATGGCGGCTGGAGAGGAGGAGAGAGAGCTCAGTTGACTTCTGCTCTGGAAGCTCTTTGAGGATGCTCTTTACTGGGCAGGGCCGTGGAGCCAAGAAAAGCACACACCCCAGGCCAGTCCCTGACGGCTCCTGGCGCCTATGGAGGGGCCTTGTTTACTTGTGCAGCTTGGGAACTTTCCAGACGACCACTTGACGTACTTATAACCTGAGGGTGCAGCAGGCTCGCTCTGGCTGGCCCACACGCAGCACAGGGAAGCACAGACCATGACCCCCCTGCCCCCTTCACCCCCACGCCTCTCAGGGAAAAGCCAACAAAACCCAGAATTGTCTCCTGGGCCCCTGCTTGGCACCACCGCACAGCGGCATGGAGACACTGAAAAACTATTTATTTTTACCTGAAGTTCAAGTTCAACTGGGGGTCCTGTATTTTTATTTGCCAAATCTAGCACCCCCAGAGGTGGGGCTCTCTTTGCCCTGAGCTGCCCCAGGCTCCTTCAGGCCTGAATCCCTCAGTCCTCCCACAGGGGCAGGAACCTCCCTTATACCAAAAACAAGGACTAGACCACCTGGGTCATCCGTGAGACCACAGGACAGTGATGGGAGAAGTCCCAGATGACACTGCCGAGGATTTCTCCCGAGGCTCCAGGACGGGCCTATTCTGTATTTCACGTGACATGGAGCCTCCTTCTCTGGCCCCATTTCCTCTCTCCTCCTTCTACAGCAAAAGGGGTCCACGTCGCTATCAAAGCAACACTGGGACAAAGTCTGGATTCACTGCTTCCTTAATCCAGGCTACTTTCAGCTCCTTCATTAAAAAAAAGAAATCTCTGTAGTACCTGTGCAATATGGCCTCCACTTTATCTTAGAGTCTTCCCTGAAGGTCTCCTCAAAACCACAGAAAGGGGCAGGGTTTTGATTGCCACGTAACTCTCTTTTGACCCACATAAGGACTCTGCTTCTGGTATGGAACCCAATGGCTGGCTTTATTTACAGTCCACACTGGACAGTTTCCACCCAGAGCTGGGACTGGAACCAGAATTTTGGCCTTCTCTGATCTGTTCTTCAACTGACAACTGGCTAGCTTGTCTGTGACCTCTGCTCAGTGGGCTTATAATAAGGCCCAGGACACCAGACGTCGGTGTATGAAGTAATAGTTGAGTGGAACTACACACAGTGCTGGGCTACACAGGGAAGACCCAGGAGAATTAATGGCGTTACAAGATGGCGCCCAGGGGTAGGCAGCCCTCCAGGAGGAGCCTTCCCGGGCCGGTGGAGGTGAGGGACAGGTGGCAAAGCCCCCTGGCAGGAGGGAGGAGAAATGAAGCTGAGCTCTCTGGAGACCCTCTGAGGTCTTCTTGGTTTGTCACCAAGCTACCCACTTCCCCCCTTGCCTACTCCTCCACTTTGGCCACATGGCAGGCTTTCAGAGCCCACCCTGGCCCCCAAATATCAGAGCCACTGGAAGAGCCGAGAGCTGGGAGGAGAAGGGCAGCTGCGTGCATGTCCCTGAGGCTTCCTGGGACAAATTTCTGTTTTCCTACCTATTAATCCAATTCAAACAGGGCTGGCATTTTACCTCCAGGGTCCCCTGACAAGCCATGTGATTTTGATATCCTGGAGAGTCTTGGTTGAGGGGGAAATGAGAATAAGTTCCCTCAAGCTAGTATCTTGCAAAATTCTAAGTCACATTCTTGGCTTTTTTATCTTGAGAACCATTTCCTTTTGGCTCTGCGGGGCTGAGTCCTTTGCTTAAAAATAATGTACTTTCCGGCCCCGCATTCAACTGATCAGGCAGTTGGAGGATCCTGTCAGTTCCTCATCAGGAGTTCTGCCTTCAGTGCTGACCGAAAGCACAGATGTGAAGGGGGCATCCTGAGCAGCCCCGACGTGAGGGCTGTGGGCTCCCACGGGTCTCGAGGTGGGACCTTAGTTCTCAGCATGAGCGAAGTGAAGGCCAGGAGGCCAGACTTGGTAGCAAGTCATGTGTGAGGGGACCTGTGGGGATTAGCTGGGCAAGGCCAGAATGGGAGAGGGGGACAAGGTGAGAGAGAGCCGAGACGTGGAAGAAAGGGCTGGACAAGCAGGACTGGATGGATGGAGGGGAGGAGAGGAAGTCAGCTCAGCCCCCGCCCGTGAAGGAATAAAACTGGAGACAGTGAGGATGAGGATGGCCACACAGCCCACCACCGTCCTCACTCCCCAGTTGTGGCACTCGTCCTGGTTGAGCCCAAACGCAGCCTCAGAACCAGTCTCCACGCAGCACTTCAGCCCGTTAGCTGAAGCCTGTGTGCACCCATCCTCATATGGAGGCTGAGTGAGAAGAAGCGATGGCGGCGGCGACACCAGGTGGGGGAGCTGACAGTGGTCCATGGAGGAGGCAAGGGGCCTGGGGTGGCTGGGGCTGTGTCAGCCTGAAAGTGGGTAGAAGGAAGAACAGAATCTACACCAGAAATGGAGTCTATGTTCATTAAATGACCCAGAGAAAGCTGTTAACCTGGATGCTTGACTTCTCCAAGGGGAGAACTTTTGTCAAGTAAAAGGATTTTAAAGGAGGACTAAGGGTGCTGCTGGCCTGAGGTGCAGGGCAGGAGAAAGAGATTTATATGCCGGTGTCTGGCCAGGGGAGTGAAGCTAGACCGCGGGTTAGAGTTCCGGAGTCCACCGAGGCAGGCGGGCAGTGGATGGGCTCCCAGGATGGGAGTCCGGGATCCCAGCTGGGCCTGAATGAATAGGAGCAGGTGGAGGGTGAGACCCGAGGATCACACGGCCTCAGTGTCCACAGCAGGCTCCTGGGTGCGCCCGACCGCACGACTTGGGACGATCAGCTGCCTGGCCCCAGAGGGCCCATCTGGTGGGGCGGGGGAGCAGCTGCTGCCTCCCCAGGGAGAGGCACTGGGAACTGCTGGTGATCGCCAGGGCCGAGTGACTGGTGGGTACCCACTGTTTTCATGTGAGGAACCTGAATTTAGCAGGGCCCAAATCAATTGTTGTTGAAGATAACAGTAATGTCTATGTCGCCAGCAGCAGCAGCAGCTGCCACTCAGCTGCCTGTATCCCTGACGACAGCAAGGGCCTCCACCCCGCAGGTAACGGAATGATAGATCTTTCCAAATACAGGACCATACTTACAGTCAGTACAAGACTGAGGGCCACCCCGGTGGCATTTGGGTAAAACAAGGATATTATGATAAAAAGTTACCCTAAGTGCAACTTGTTGGACGTCCAGGCCTATAAAACTTGAAATCATTTTTAACTCAGTGGCATTAGGTCAAATTGGCAAAAATTGTTAGACCACCTAAAACCTCCACCCTGGCGGCAAAAATCTGTGGATGAAATATCGAGCTAATCATCTCTTAGGGAAGGCATATTACTGTTTGCAGCTCTAACAAAACACATGTAAAATAACAGATGATCAAAGTTGGCCAAACTTCTAAAACTGCTTATTATCAAGAGACCCTCTCCCAGAGTCCCAAATAACCTGGCTTTCTCCTGGCCCTGACAGGCCTACTGCTCAGAACTGGGGCTCAGAGGCTTTTGAATCCAATTGTGAGCAGATTATAAAAGCCTGCAGATGTTTCTCATACTGGAATCTGACCTGCTCCTCTGTTGTTTTTCCTTCTTGAATGGAGATTAGAGTCTTATCTGACCTGTTCATATCCTTTTAATTTCCTCTTGAAAATTAAAAAAAAACTTGTACATTTCTAATTCAAAACATGTATTTTTTCTGGCATCTAAAAAATACTTTTATTCCCCATCAGTCTCTGGTGAATTCAACCAGATGCTTCAAAATGTGTTTGAATCCCACAGTAGCTGTTGCTACTAGTCACACATTTCTGACTCAATTCAGCCTTGTAACGTGTGGCTGACCGCCTCAGCCCCAGAGTGTGGGGGGCACCAAAGCTTTGGTCATAGATCTACATCATTCTGAGAGTCCTACTTCAAAATCTCACATTAAACATGGCTTTCCCCAATCAGAAATCTTTTTCAAATAGCTTACAGATGTGAGCAGTGGACACAGTGCTCGGAGAGAAGGGGTCTGGAGAAAAAGCCCAGGGGCAGGTCTGGCTGCGTGGTCACAGGTCCCTGGGTCTCTATGCACAGGGCAGTGGCTGAGATCAGAGGGCTTCTCAGGAGCAAATGTGTGACCAAGGCCTTTCTGGGTCTGTAACTGCTGCTGCTTCATTAAGAGTCTAGGCATCACCAGTCCCACAGCTGCCCCCTAGTCCAGAGCTGCCCCAGCCCCATGGCTGCTCCTCAGTCCAGAGCTGCTCCTGGTCCAACAGCTGCCCCCAGTCCAGAGCTGCTCCTAGTCCCACAGCTGCCCCTAGTCCAGAGCTGCCCCCTAGTCTCACAGTTGCCCCCCAAGTCCCACAGCTGCCCCCCCCACGCTGCCAGAGTTCTTACACGAATAGGAAACGCCAGGCTCAGAAGCACCAGGCTTGCCCCCTTTGCAGACTGGAAGGTGCGCGTTCAGCAGGGACGGAAGGGAGACGTTCCTGGCGTGTCGGGCTGTCTGAGGAGACACGGGATGGTTTTCTAGCCTGGAGGGAAAAGTGAAAGCAATAAATACAGATAGGAGATACTGGACTGCTGACTACGGTGTAGCGTCAGTAAGTGGAAGTGCCTGAAGTTCTTTTGTTAAACTGGAGTTAATAGACATTAAATCTCTTTAAGAAACTAGGAAGTGTCCTTACTTCACTCTCGTTAGCTCTTATAAATTTACAGTGAAACGTGGCTTATTATTTTTCTAACACACAATTGTATCTTTTGGCTTTGATGACTCAGGAGCATGATACTTCAACCAGACAATTTAAAGCACCAATCTTCTGGGTTTGCCTCCAGGGATGAAGCTGATTAGCCAAGGGATGAAGCCAACCAGAAAAGACATGACGTGTCATGTCAGCCGTGACAACCAGAGTCAGGCAGGTACTGCACCAGGGAAGAGCTTGTTTTCTAATGGTGTGTGCAGTGCCTCACGCTGGCACCCGGGGCGGAGGAGACGCATTCAGCCAGCAGACATGCACTGGGCGCCTGCGAGAGACGGGGACCTGGGCCAGCACATCACAGAGAGGCAGGGTGGCGTCTCAGGTCAACCTTCACAACAGAACAGAGGAAGGTTCTCCAGTGCGGGCAGAGCAGCCCAGTGCTCACTCCCCCTCAATAAGGGGACACTAGCCACCTGCTCCAGCAAGGGCTGGGTGAGGACACACCATGGCAGGCGTGTGCCTGCCCTTCCGAGGGATGGGCCCCCCTGAAGAGGCTGTTCTTGAATGTCAGTTCCAGTAGCAAAGACAAACAGACATTTAACTGTCCTGTGGGGCAGGAAAACCTCTGTGTGTGTGTGTGTGTGTGTGTGTGTGTATGTGTGTGTGAGACACAGAGAGAGAGACAGAGAGAGACAGAGACAGAGACAGAGGCATAGAGACTCAGTCAGTCCTGGAGTCTGAGCTGGGGTTTGCCAGGGGCCCAAAGAGGGAACATTTCCCAGCAGGGGTGGCACCACAAGCAAGGGGAAGACACACACACACAAAAGGCCTATACTTATGCTGCGTTGTCAGACAGATTTACTGCATCCAAAAAATGCAGACTGGAGGCTGCAAGTGTCCTGGGGAACTTGGAGCTTTGAGGGCTGAGGTTGGGGAGAATCAATTAAGAAGGAGCTGGTTGGCCAGATTCGACTTGGTCTCTAGGGGAAATAGGAGTCACAGAGATGACGTTCCATGACGATGTGCTAGAAAGATCATTCTGTCTATAGTCGTGGAGGGTGGACCTCAGTAGGGAGAATGGTTAGGAGGCTCTCCTCGGCCTGGGGAGAAGGAGATGGCTCAGGAGGGCAGACAGAAGGGCCAGAGCCAGGAGAGCAGGTGGGAGGGAGAGGGCTGGGTGGCCCATAGGATGAGATCCTGGCTTGGGTGTCTGGGGGTGTTAACATCGTTCCATGAAGCAGGGGGCTCAGAAGTGGTGTTCATCCAGGAAATGCTGAACTGGGGGTGCTGTGGGGCCACATCTAGCCCTGGGGGGCAAGTCTGGGCTGGAATCAGAGATTTGGGGGTCAGCAGCATGTAATGGGAGAACAAGCAGGATGGGATGGGGACCTTAAACGGGGCCTGCAGGACATAGTGTTTTAGGAGGAAGAGGGTTGGGAATCGGAGAACAGCCCACAGTGGCTGTGGGTCGGAGGTGGGAGAGCTATCAGGAGGGTGGTCACCAGTGGCAACCGAGAGAGATGCCAAGTGCCGGAAACTGGAGGGCCACCTGTGGCCATGGCAACAATAACTCACTGGAGTCACTGCCAGACCACGCAAAGGGCTGTGAAGGGAAGGACGAGGCAGGGGAGTAGCCAGAGGCCAGGGGGTGAGGGAGGCAGGGAGATGTGAAGCCTGGTGAAAGGCCTTGGGAAAGAAGGCAGCGGAGGGGAGGCTGAAGATGGAACAAAAGAGGTGTTAAATGAAGGAGCAAAGTTTGGGCAGTGACAGTGGAGAGAGGATCCAAGGAAGGTAAGGCTTGGCAGAGGGGAGGTGGGAGAGGCCCTCATCCCATGCTGGGGTGAGAGAGGGTCCCACATTGCACGGGAGTGACTATATGCATTATTGTCTTCTCTTAAATGGATTATGACTATATATTTAATGGAGGCACTGGGGATTGAACTCAGGATCTTGTGCATGCTAAGCATACACTGTACCACTGAGCTATACCCTCCCTGCATATTTGTTACTTTTAACCTTTTTTTTTTAATTTTAAAACCAGTGCTTATCATGAAAAATTAAAAAAAAAAGAAAATATAGAATGTCCTGCCCTCCCAATACCTAGACACAACCCCTATTAATATCTGGTATCTTTCTACTCTTTTTAAAATGCAAATGTATACTTAAAAAACAACAACTTGGGATCACTGTACATGGCCAGCAGGCTAGACCACACTATTTTATAATTTGCATTTTACTTAGCAACATATTGTGAGGCTTTCCCATGTATTAAATATTCTTCTGACTGTTATTTTCAATACTGTTTTGTGTGGCTATATAGTTTAACCAGCCTCCCACTTTGGGCTTTTGAGTTCTCATTTTATAAATAATGTTTCAATAAATATATATACACATATACCTGCAATATATACCTGATTACTTCTCAGGATAAAATCCTAGGCGTTGACTGCAGTAATCCTAGGGATTACTGCCTGCAAAAGTACCAGTTTCTGGTATGCATGTAATGCATACTGTCAGAGTGTCCCCAAGATCACTGAGATTCTTGATTTATGTACACTCTCGGCAACACTGGTTATCAGAGGGTGCCGGTTGTGCATGGAGAGTCATATAAACTTTTTCAGGAGGCTGACCTGAAAAGTTTTTCAAGAGGCTGACCTGAAGATACTGGACGTTAACTTTGCAAAAATAAGCCTGCCATGCGGAGCACCCCTGCACTCTGTCGTCACCTACTTACCACGTTACAGCCACTCTCTCTCCCCTACCTGGCGGCTTGCTCTGCATGCTTCTGAGAATAGGGACCACATCTCCTTTATTTTTGCAACCCTAGCAACTGGCACACAGAAGTGTTACAAATGTTTGCTGAATTGGCCCAATGGAGGGAGCTGGTGATGGGGCAATTGCTTGGTTAGAGTGGAAGGGCCATCATGTCGAGAAAATGAGGGGCTCTCATTCCTGGCAGGGACCACTTCCGCAAGTCAGGGGACAGCCACGTGGGCTCTCCAGGCATGGAAAAATGCCCTCTTTCCCTCAATACCAGGTAGAACATTTGATCCAAGAATGAACTGTGCCCATTGGTTAGATCTTACATTTATTAGATTCCTTTTACACTTCTCTCTGATTAAATATGTTATTGTTGCCTCTTTGTGAAGCCAGGGTTTTAGTAAGTTTAAAAAATAATTTTACAGTAATTTTTAAAACGATGATTCAGTGTCCTCTTTCCCATCTCAAGCAAGATGAATTTT